ATGCCTGCTTGCCTATCTCTTTTGCGGAGAATCCCTGCCCTTGCTTTTTGTTTGTGCCGAATCTTTGCTTGCACCGGATGCAGCGATAGATGGGATAAGAATCTGGCCCCGATGTCGATTTCGTTCTCGTTTTTGCTTGTCCCATGATGAGGTTGTGGTATGATTGCATCTTGTATAACCGAGACTTACGAAGCAATTAGGCGATTCGAAGTCCGGCCCCGCGAGCGCCGCACGAGAACACGTGTAAACTCGATCCAAGTCGCGCCCTTACACGCATTCCCATGTGTCGACTCGCTCACCCCGAAAGGAATCACGGCGGAACCATCATCTCGTACGAGCACGCTGAGGCGCCACTGAGTCGGCCTGTCCTACATGTGCTCATGCGCAGTGACGATATCCCGACCCACACTATCTCATGACGCGATCTTGGGGCTCAGACTCATCCTATGACCCGGACTATTTCACCCCTATAATAAACGAGCTCATAAGGACTCGATACCCTTGTCACACGGAGAATCGGCTATGTCCGCGGGAATTCCACTGTGCTATTACTAGCGACCCTCGGTGCTCCGAATTCCCTTCCCCCGACCACACCTACTACTTCACCCACCCGGGATTCGTTGAGATCACCACCAGTTTCCCTCCTTTCCGCCTCCTTCTCCCGTTTCATCAACTCAGTGTCGTTCCATGGCCGGCCATAGCCCCTTATTGGCCCAACACGTTTTGCGTAAATTGCCGACGCAGCGGCGCACAAAGAACCTCGGAATTCCGAAGGCCCAGCCCAACTACGCGGCGGCCTGCGCCACGTGGCGGCCCCCGACGACCTAACTTTTCAGGACCATCTCCACCACGGAGGAATTTTCCCGTAACCCGTCGCCCGCAGTGTCACGGCCGCTTCGGACTGTGAGGCCCTTGCGCGCGTACGCCCCCCACCCCCCCCGTTCGCCTAATTGCGTTCATACCCCTAAGACTACCCCACTTCCCCCAAAAATCCTTGGCACACCCCTTTTCGCACTTCCAGACCCACACTCCACTCCGATCAGGAAGTCGCGCTGGGCGTGAGGTTGGGGCGTCACATATTCAGAAAATTCAGGTGCCTGAAATTCCGGCCCATCTTATACCATCCACCTCGCTGTTCACCGATGATCTCACGGTGCTCTTCTGAGCCAATGAATAAACCTTTTAAGCATTGGCACACACCATTCACCTTTTTGAAGTAGCCGCCGACATGAAGGTCAACTGGGGAACAAAGATAGAAGGGTGGTGGCTACACCCCCAACATCCTCAGCCCCCGGACGACCCGCCAATCAACTGGAGGGAGAAGCGGGCAACAATCAGAGTGTTGGGGGTGAACCTCACAGCCCTAGCCCCCCCGCCAAACCATGGAGACTCACTGCTGGACCTGGCCATGCAACGGTTGGCCAGATGGGACACGAAACCCACCTCTCTGGTTGGACGGGCCCTAGCAATAAACAATGCCATCTTTGCATCGATATGGTATGAAGTGGCCTTCTGGCCACTATCCGAAAAGCAGTTGGCCAAGCTCAGACAGGCAGCCGCGACATACCTGTGGAAAAACGACCATAACGACAGTCGCTGCATCAAGCAAGTGGCATGGGACGTCCTTACCCAACCAAGAGCTTAAGGCGGCCTAGGGATTATTGACCCGAGACAGGAAATCAAGGCTCTCACCTTCAAATTCATAATTAGAATGTTGATGGGCAACAATATACCATGGACATGGTATGCACAGATCCAGATAGCCTGCCTGGCTCCACCATCCCCGGTCGATAACCCAGTGCACCCATTCCAATGGTTAACTAACCCGACATGGATGATCCCGGCCTGCCCCCGGGCGGATTCAGATCCCTCCCCAGAGGGCCGGGCCAAATGGGATCTGCGAATAGACCCCCTATGGACTGCCATGATACGCTTGTGGAGGAATAATGACATGGAACGAACTCAGGTCCAACTAAGATGGCATGACATCGTGCGTCAATCACTGTTCGGCCACCCCCAAATCAAAGATCAAACAGGAACATCCTTCTCCCTCAACCGGAAATCGAAATGGCTTCGGTGGGTCAAGAAGGGGATCTATTCAGCACGGGACCTATGAGATGAAGCTTCTTCAGCCTGGCATTCACAACAAACAATCAGAGCCAAAATCGGCCGCACCCTGAACCTAGAACAAGATCTGGCAAGCCAGGACCATAAGGCCCTGCTTTATATATATAAAAAAAAGAAGAAAAAAAAAAGAAAAAAAGAACAAGATCTGGCAGAGGTCCAAGAAGCGATCCCTTTGGCATGGATTATAGCCCTCAGACGAGGTCCCACTATAGAGAAAGGGGACTGGGTGGTAAGGGCAGACTCGCTACACCTATCGATGACAATCTTTAGAGTGGAGAGTTCTCAACCCTCATCAGCCATGCAACTACAAGCCTACTGTCCTGCCCTTCCAGGAGCAAGATGGTTGACTATTCACAGGAAGGACAACCTTGACTGCCAGGCCCCGGTGGAAGATTTGATCAGAATTTGCATCATAGAAGAAAAATATGAGGTGAAATATGTGTACGAACCCACAATACCCCTGTCTCATCTCCCATTCGACCCGACGGAGTGGAAGTGGCAGAGGGCAACATCGTCCATCATGCATCCGTGGCAGTATACAGTGAAAAACGGATATAGAATGATGTGGACCACAACCCAGACCTCGGTGATGGATGATATTCTAAGGAGACGGGAGAGGGACTCATCCCTTACCAGGGAAGACATGAAAGACTTTAAATGGTCAGCCTATACACATATTAAACCAACTAATCACAGGGGATTACAATGGCAGATCATACACAAATGTCTGCCTACTCCCGACTAGGTAACGAAAAGAACAGATCTCGAACAAAAACAGCCACTTTCCCCTCTCTGTACATTCTGCAAACTCACCTCCCCGAGGAAACGGGCAACACTGGAGCACTGTCTTTTAGACTGTCCGATGGTTGTGCCAATCTGGAAATGGTGGGACGCTGCCTGGCACTATCTTACAGGCCAGCATTTCCCCTGGGAGGTGAAAACTATTCTTATGGGCACCCTCCCTTCAGGAACAGACTGGACCCACTTCATGCTTAATATGTTCTACTACATCTGCCTGACCTTGCTCATGACAACTTGGAGAATGAGGTGTGCTCATGAGCGGGGCGAGAACACATTTGCACCCCAGCAGGCCAAGGAAACGACTGGAAATTGAGATCCAGACTACAAGAAGAAATTGAAGTGTCCAAAAAGAATCAATTGATTGATAATTTTACAAATACATGGATGGATCCTAACAACAGACTATGTAGACTTGACCATGGAAACGACTTACGATGGCAACCATGGCTCACGACAGAGAACACCTGGGAATTCCTCCCAGACAATCACTTCTCGTGTCATATTCAACCAACCAATTTCGTACTGATTCAGGCTGACTAATATGTAGACCACTTTGCACAGATAAGAGCAGGAACACMCCCTTAACTACCCGCCCCTACCCCGCCCCCCCCCCTCCTCCTCCGCCTGGGCACTGTTAACCCACACCTCCCTACCTGACCACCCCATACATCCCCACACTAAGTGCCGGCCTGGATGGACCTCCGCAGCCTCACCAATGAAACAGAAGTCAGAGGAAGCTGGATGCAGAATGGGCTCTCGGGAAGAAGTAGTGGTTAAGCAGGGTTTAATAAAGACAGGAGTGAAAGAAGGGAATGGATGGCGGCATAGGAGTACGGTCAAGCTATAATGAGTTAAGGAGAAAAAGAGGAAGAGGGGAGGACAGAACAAGACAGGAGAATAGGACGAAGAGGTCTAAGGATATCTACAGTTAGGTTAGGTCTTTAAGTCTTCAAGTCTATATATCAGTAGGTGTCTATGTCCAGTGGGGGGCTGCTGAATAGGGCTGGGTGAACAGATAATGGGCGCTCCAAGAATGGGATGGGTGTTACTAACAGCTCCATGGGACGATGGAGTCCTGGTCCAGCAAGACAACAACCACAGCCCTAGGAAACAATGACCAACAATTGCTGAACTACAAGATGTATCAATGGGACGCTGGACCCAGTTTCCAGCAGGTGCAGCTCCACTCCAACAGTTGGAGCTGCCCGATCAGTGTACATAGTAACTGTGCAGCGATTCCTTTAGGATTGACAGACACAAATAGTAGCAAGCTTACAAATGCAGAATGAAAGACAAACAGACAAACAGCTTACTGTAAACTACATTACAACTGACAGATAGCACGGTGTACACCGTAACTGCACAGAGATCCAGTAGGATTGACAGGATGCTGGGCCGATTACAGCCCACCTCCCCCACATGCATACTAACCTTCCACAATTGGAATGCTTTCATAGCTGACAGGGTTCACACTGCAAAGTACATTACAATCGATAGTTAGTACAGATTACAGAATTTGCTAACCTTTCACGAGCTCATTGCTCCCGCACCTGACATGGTTCACATCAAAATGTATAATTGCAAGTTCAATGTACTTCACAGGTACGCTGGACCCGATTTCCAGCTGGTGTTGCTCCCCACCAATAGATGGAGCCATCCCGGCACTGCTAGTGGTGGCTGATCATATCAGCACCCCTAGCAGTTACTCGGGCTGTTTCTT